ATATATTAATCAATGATTTGGAAAAAGTGGAAAAAAATCAATAAAATCAATTTTTTTTTTTTTCTAATTTTTTTGGGTTATTTTTTTTTTTCACAAAAAGTGATAAAAAGTATTATTATTTGATTCTGTTATTTTTAAATTATTTGGAATGGGTCGTCCGGCGGGGCAGTTAGATTCCACAGGGATGCCAACAATGGCTGCTTAGTTTAGTGGCATAATACTTGTCTTGGAAACAAGGGGTCCTGAGTTCGATTCTCAGAGCAGCCAATTTTTTTTTTTTTTTTTGTCAATCATTATGGGGCAAAGGTAGGCTCAAGCGGCCGTCTTGCAGGTTTTCCTGTAATTTACAGCAATCCTTGAAATTTGTAATTATCTTCACTTTTAAAAAAAAAAAAAATTTTATATTCAAAAAAATTCAAATTAATTTTTTTTTTTTTTTTTTTTTCTTAAAATAATTATTTTTTTTTACTGATTAATTTAAAGCATTTGCTTTTAATTATCTTCACTTTTAAAAAAAAAAAAAAAAATTATTTTATTATTTAAATAATAAAAATAAATTTTAATATATTAAAAAAAAAAAATTAAAAAAATTAAAAAAAAAAAAAATTAAAAAAATTTTATTATCAAAAACGCACATCAAAATTTTTATTTTTTTTTAAATTTTTTTATTTAATTTTTTTTATTTTCCTTTCAAAATCCTTCTTATTTTTCTTCTTTTCCTTTTTTCTTTGGTGGTGATATCAAATTTAATTTTAATAAATTTGAATTTTCTTTTGATGAAGTTGAATCCACCAAAGAAAAAAGGAAAAGAAGAAAAATATTTAAAGTCTTCCTCTCAGCCTTATTAATGGTAATATAGCTTTAAAAAAAAAACAATGATAGAGTTTGCTTCGATTACATTAATAAGGCTCCATCAAATTATACCCACATTACACATTCTGTTTCAAATACAAGATATCACTACCTTATTAAATGGTAAATATAATTATTTTTACCTTAATAAATATTATTTTAATATTTATTTATATTAATATTTTTTTCTAATAATCATAGGTGATCCATTAAAATGTAATGTGGTTGCACTTTACCAATCACACAACGAAGCTCAAATTAAATTGTTAAGAACTGTTTAAAAACCAAAAGGAAGTATAACGCAATTTACTACCCCAATCAATTCATCAGAAAACAAACCAAATATACAATTAACGCCACTTAATTATCGATATCATTATGTCAATGATGTCATTGTTAATGATTTCCCTTTTCAAAGAAGTAATACCGTGTTTATGAATAAACTCCTTCAAATGGTAATTATAAAAGTTTTTTATATTTTTTACTTTTAATTATAAATTATATTTACATATTTTTATTTATTCAGTCTTTGGGAACTTTTTTAATGAGTGATGTATTCTCAAACTATGACCGAATAAAGAAAACATTTGATAATCAATCTAGCAAAATGGCTTCAATAATCAGACAACACACAAATTCTCAAAGAAAAGGTTAAACAAATCCCAGGTCAATTGGGTGCCATTACCGATATTTGGACTTTGGATAATGGTATTCCATTTTTAGCTGTTAAGGTTCGATTTTTTGATGAAAATATGAATTTTAAAGTTTTATTGTTATCAATCAAATCATTCACAGAAAAACATACAGCTGAAAACATAGCAAGCCATCTTTTGTCAGTCTTCCAAGACTATACCATTGGAGAAAAAATATTATCTATTGCTATGGATAATGCCAACAATGGTATTGCTGGTATAAAAGAGCTCTCTCTTTCAGTCAAGTACGTAAAATCAGCAGATGTATAATCCATATCTTTAATTTGGCTCTCTGGAGTCTAGCAAAAGATAGTTCCCATAATAAAAAGTCACTGCCAAATCCTCGTTTATCTCTTAGAATGGACGTTGTTACTCGTTGGAATAGTTTGATTTGGCGTCAGATATTCTCGCTCTAATGGATAAAAAATCGTAAAAAAGGTGAATGTCTCAGATTTTGGAAAGATGTTTCAAACCAAAAGAGATTTCCAGTTCTCTTTTCTCTTGCTCGTGATTACTTGGCTATTCCATGCTCATCAGTCGAAGTTGAAAGAACTTTTTCGAATGGAACAAATATTGTTACACATAAAAGACATCGTCTAAAAAACTCTACCATTGAGTCATGTCTTCTTCTCAAAGAATGGAATAGTCAAATTCAAGATGTTGTATATGATATTCTTAACAAAAAAAAAAGATGAAAGAGTCCACAACAAATATATAAATAGCAATAATAATTTTTGAATTAATAGGTCATATTTAATATTTATATAAGAACCCCTAAAATAAATCATATTACAAGATATTGGTTTGTTAAAAATTAAAAAAAAAAAAATAAAAAATAGTGCTCAATATTTTTTCTGTTTTTTCAATTTTTAAAATTTTATGTATTTTTTTTACAATTAGATATAATTGATATTATTAATTAATATTTAGTACTAAGTATATCCTCCACATGCTTTATATATTGCATCGATTCGGTCAGGGAGTGATTCATATAATGATTCTATTATTGATTTTTCAATTGAATGAAATGCGTCTGTATACCTGAACTAGGTCTTGTGGTGGGTAATGAAACATCTTTTTTGATACCCATTCTTTAAAAATTGACAAAAGATTTTCAATTATATTAATATCTGGTTGTAATGGGTCAACTTGTATATTATTCTCTTTTAATTTGAATAGTATTTTAAAGTTAGTTGTGTATCGTTTTGTATATTTCCAAGATATAGTTTAGAATCTAATCAGTTGGGTAAATAAACTAAATAACCCGGACCATCATAAAGTAAGATTTTTTTTGAATAAAAAAAAAAAAAAAATACAAATATAAATATTTATATAAATTTACTTAATCATTTCATTTTTTTTTTATTTTTTTTTTAATTTTTGATTTATTTATTTTTTATAATTAATAAAAAATATTATTTGAATAATTAAAATTGTATAATGATAGTTTCATAAGGAATGAATATTAAAATATAAACTCTAAAATAGAGTTTATATTTTCCTTAAAGTGGACTTTTAGATTAAATTTAATTATAAAAACTATTATTATAAAATCTATAGTGGTTATATTAGTTAAAAATTATATTTTTAATTTTTAATAATGATGTTCGCATTCTTATTCCTTTGTAGAAATTTTGTGAGTGTGGTAAATTTCATTTTTATTATTAATTAAATTTTATTTTTTTCTTTTTTTTATTAAAATTTTTTTTAGTTAATAATTTTCAACTCCATCAGGCCAATCGAAAATATAGGATATTGAAACATCATAAAATTTTTAAATAAAATATAATAAAATTTTTTTTTATAAATAATATGTTTATTTTTTACCATTTTCCTTTTTATTGAATAGTTCTTAGTAATATAATTTAGTATCTAATATTTTTACAATCATTACCAAGTTTATTCAATAACTATACCTAAACTTATCTCCTTTTCTCTAACGACGAAGCACTAATGGTGATTGATGTACATTATAAGTATCAATTAATAGTATGCTATATTCTTTACTGTATTAGAATGCATCTTTATCTTTATTGAAGTTGTCCCATTTATCAAATTTGCGAATTGTTACTTCCATCTTTTTTTACAATCCGACCTAATACTTATTTTTCCTCAGGGGGCTGGTGATCAATACTTTTGTAATAAAGTGCACCATGCACAACTAAGGCGTGAGGTGATCAACTTAGCAAAAGGGAAATTTCTTAATTTATACTATTTATTTAAACTTAGACTTTATTTTTTTAAACCGTATAGGGGTCCCAAATTACACTTTTCATCAGCTTGCTCGATTAGCTCAGTCGGCAGAGCGTGGTGCTAATAACGCCACGGTCGCAGGTTCGATCCCTGCATCGAGCAATATTTTTTGGTTCAACAATCCACTTGGGCATCATAAATCTTCCTTGTGATCTCATTATGGTAAATTTGCCTAAATATTTGTAATGTAGATGGAGCTACTTTACATTTTTATTTTCACCCCAACCTCAAGTGCTTCTTTGTAGTTTCCATAGATAATTTGTATTGGTATTGAGTTATTTATATTTGTATCATTGTATTGGTTGTAGAGTTCGAGCAGTTGTAAGGTACTAAGATCAAATGATTAAATAAAATAAAATTTATATGAAATGTTTATGTTTTTGTAAAATTCGAAAACTAATTGTTGATTATTATTAATTAATGTTGATTATTATTGAGTAATGATCCTTATTCACTTCACAGTTTGTCAGCTAATTCATTTCTTTGATTACTACCTGCTGGTTCATATATTGCAAGTATTCTTATAATATTATAAATAAATTATTTAGAAATAAAAACAAAAAAAAAAAAAAAATATATGTGTGTGTAAAAACGAGTGAATATTATTTAATGTAAGTTATTGCAAAAAAAGCTGATGGATGAAAAACTATATGTGCGGTGAAAGCTATTTTTAATAAAAAAAAAAAAAAAAATTTTAATATACAATTTTTTAAAATTAAAAAAAAAATAAAAAATTATTATAAAAAAATAAAATAAATAAAATAATACAAAAACAATTTTCTATTTGTGTTATTTTTTTAAATAAATTATTATATTTTTAATATATGTTAATTGAATTTAATTTGATATAATAGTTTTAGCCTAATCTTTTAAAATTTTTAGATTGATAATATTACAGGTAGATCCAGATATGGCAGATATTACATTGAATATTATTTTAAACCCCAAATTATAATTATCCTACTTTATATATTAAAACCTAATCGGCTGCAAATTATTTCTAGGTACCCCTTAGGTTGAGAGTTTTCAGTTTTCTCTTTTAATAGATAGAAATAAAAATATCCCATTTCCAGAAACTCTTTTTAATTTTTATAAAACACAATTGGGTTCAATAAAATATTTTATTAAGAGATTAAAAATTATTTTGACTCGCTCTAACTTAAAAAATAAAAATAATTATTTTTATTTTTTAAGTTAGAGCGAGTAACCCAAGGTTTAATCCTAAATCTCTTTGAGGTAGTATAGTTTTTTAGATAAATATTTTAAAAAAAAAAAAAGAAAATTAATTTCAAAAAAAAAAAAAAATTTTTTCCAAATTTTATCAAAAAATATTAAAAATAAAAACATAAATTCTAATAACAATGGCACAAATAACAAAACAAATGATGATTTCAGAAAATTATTAGATAACTCAGCAACTCAAGTTAATAAAAAATAAAAAAAGACAATGAAACGTATGTATTCCAAATTTACAGAAATTACTTAAAAGGATTAATCTGCTATCAGATTCAAAATATTATAAAAAAGACCAAAGATACAACAACAATAATAAAAAAGAATGAGGGCATTAACAGATGAAACTGAAACGGCAAAAAGATTCAGATTCAGAAAACTCGTAATAGTTTTGGACTCAAGAAACGAGTAAGACCTCTTTAACTGGGCAAGAGTTACTAAAACCAACAGAGAACGAAATGAAAGAAATGAGAATAGAAATCTTGGCTTATGAAAACTCAAACCTATATCTAGCAGTACTTGGTAGAAACGAGAAAACTCCACTTCAAACAATTACTAATGGTAAGATAGAATTAATAGTCCCTGAGAATAAAAACTCACTAAATAAAACCATCAAAATTCTCAACCTAACCTTGTTCAAACCCAAAAACAATAAATTCAACAGGGGAAACAATTAAAGAACAGTTAGAACAACCTTCACAAGAATAGATATAACATCATTCTATCTTTCCATTTGTAATTGGGTGTAATGGAATCTTCTTGTTTCTATCGAGAACAGTGGATAAATGTTTAAGTTTGAGTTTTTATAGGCGAGGATTTCTATTCCAATTTCCTTCATTCTTCTCTGTTGGTTTTAGTAACTCTTGTTGAAGAGGTAGTACTCGTATATATTGGCTCTTGTTTGAAGTATGCTTGAGTCTAGAACAAAAGTGCCCGGAATATATATATATATGGACCCTACTTTATTAAGATGGAAATAATAATTATTAAATATATATATAAAATAGAGGTTTAGTGATGAAATTAGATACTCGGTATTAACATAAAAACAGATAGAAAAGAATGATATTATAGAAACCTAATATATTAACTATTTTTTTAATTAATTTTTATTCAATTAAACAAAAATTACTATTTTTTAATTTAATTTAATATTTTTTTTCAATTTCAACATTATTTATTTATATTAATTATTATTTCACATATGAGATAAAAATTATTAGATCTTGGCTTCAAATTTTGTATTAATTGCTAACCATGAATTTTTGACTTACCCCTTCAATAAGAATGGTGCAAAGGTTAACAAAACTTTTATTAATTTATTTTTAAAAAATATTAAAGTTCCCAACAAAAGCTTGAGGGTCCAACTTTTCGAAATATATTGAAATCCTACTTTAAAGGCTGGTTTATTATCTTTTATACCCTCAATTTTTTCTTATTTATTCTGTGCAAAAATTTTCACTCTAAATAAATCTGAATTCCATATCTTGCAGGCTTCAAAATTTTTTTATTACCCCAATATTTCATCAAGCATCTCCTCTTTGGTGTAGTCGGTAACACATTAGTCTCTCACACTGATACCCCGGGTTCGATTCCCGGAAGGGGAGCTTCTTTTATTATAAATATCTCTTCCCGGAGATTATACCTATTTAAGGTATACTGATAATTATCTTATAGAAAACTGGGGTTTTGGTTGTTGGTGGCAGAAAACATTAAATAAAATTTGCTGATAAATTTAGAGCATTTGTTTTAAAAAATCTTCATTCTACTGATTAATTTAAAGCATTTGCTTTTAATTATCTTCACTTTTAAAAAAAAAATTTAGTTTTTTTGTTATTTTTAAATAATTAATAAAAAAATTAATAACCAAAGTGATTTTACACATTATTAAGATTTACCGATTTTTCTTTAAATAAAATTTTTATTTAATATATATAAATAAATTATTTGTTTTTTTTTTTTTTATTGATTTGTTAATCTTAAAGTTACACAAAGAGTAGTTAAATATTTTAATACACCTTCAGAACGAAGTAAAGGAACTACAATATCTGAAGCGGCACAAAGAATTTGATAACAACGACGAATACGAGCAGGAGTTGGGAAAGGTAAAATATTTTTTAATACACCATAAAAAGCAACAGCGAAAAAGTGCATAGCTAAAACTTGTGGTTTAGGTTTAAGACCTGACAAGAGAGCGACTGGACCAGCAGAGAATTCTCCTCCTAAATCTAAATAACCAAGACAGGCTTTTCTTAAATGTTCATTAGATGCAGAAAAAACTTTATAGAGAGCACCGGCCAAAACATTTAAAGTAGCAGCTAATGGTCTACGCTCTTGAACAAATTTAGCAACAACATTTTCAATTTCTTTTTTATTTGATAAATCTGAAACATTAGCCAATAATCTGGTGAGAATTGAAACATCTGATAAACAAACAGTCATACCTGAGCCAGTTAATGGATGTCTCATATTCCATGAATCGCCTACTAATAATACACCTGGTTTAGAAATTTTATTTGGTGGTAAACGTGAATTTGGCATTTTCTTTAATGGATCAGTTTTTAATGCTGTTAAAAATGATTCTCTTAATGACTCTGGTAATTGTGGTGCTGTAACTTTTTCTAAATATTCTCTTAATTCATTATTTGATGGACATTTTGGTATATCGACTAAAACACGAATTTCATCTGATCCAATCTATTTTTTTAAAAATTTTAAAATTAATTTAAAATAAATTTTATTTATTATAATTATATAATGAAAACACTTACTCTGTACATTAAAATTGGAGCTGGATCAACTAAAAATACATGACCATGATTTTGATATGGGAGTTGTACCCCTTTAATAATAAGACCAACAAAAGTAGATGTTAATTGTGGTGAATCTTGAATTAATGATTTTCTTAAATTTGAAAAACAACCATCACAAACAATTGTTAATGGTGCTCTTACTTCTTTTATAATTGTATTTTGTTCGTCTTTTGATTTTTTACTTTCTACATATTTAACACCTAAAACTACACCATTTTCTTCAATTAATGCATTAACTGTACCTTCAACCATAAATACGCTATGTATTAAAAATAAAAATTATTAATATAATTAAAATTTAATATATATATGTATGATATAAATAATTAATATTTACTTTTCACATGATGATGCTTTAAATCTTAATTTTTGAATAAAACGACCATGATGAAAACTGAAACCATTTATAATACCACCATTTTTATCTTTTGGATATGCTAATTTAACACCTTTATTTTGTTTAAAAATACCATAACCAAAAACTAAAGATGAATCAATACCCTCTAAACATTCTATTTTTATTTAAAAATAATGACTTTATTAGTACACAGTAATGACTGTGATGATTTCTATTTAGTATTGAGTACATACCTTCCATTCCTAATTCACGTAAAGCTTTAACACCACCTGGTTGCATTAATTCTCCGACAATTCTATCTGGTTCTGATAAGTCACGCTCGATACACAAAACCTTTTTACCTTTACATCCCATTGAATATGCAAATGCACTACCTGCAACACCTGCACCTACAACAATTATATCAAAATTTTTATTATCGACTTCATTAACAAATGATATATCTTCCATTTTATCTATTTTATATATCTTTTTTTATTTTATATTATTATATTAAAATAAAACTATAGCATTTAATTACATAAAAATGGTATTAATCGATTATAATGTTATTGTTTTATATTTTTTTTTTTTTTTTTAAAATAAAATTATAAAAAAACAAAAGAAAATAATAAAAATAATAAAAAAGATATAATAGTGTGTTTGAGTGTGTGTTTTTATGTGGTGATATTATATTAAATAAAAATAATATTAAAAGATTCGTTTGGTGTTGAATATATGTGTATTTTGTTTATATGTTTGTGTTGTTATTGTATATGTTAATTTATTTTGTGTAAAAATAAATAATACAAAAAAGAAAAAAAAAGAAAATTAAGTGTTAGTTTATTGCTTGTTTTTTTTTTTTTTTTTTTGTTTTTTAAGATATGTTTTTAAATAATTACAATTGGTTCTTAAAGTATTAGTTTTAAATTTAAAAAAAAATTTTAAAATTTTAATAAATAAATATTTTTGAATGAATAATAATAAATTTTTTAAGATATTATTATTTTATTGCATTTAGAAAAAAAAAAAATAAGAGCTTTCTAAAAAAAAACAAAAAAAAAAAAAAAAAAAATTTAAAAAAATCATTAAAAAAAAAAAATAAAAAAAATTAAAATTAAAAATAATTATTTTATTTATTTTTTTTTTTTTTTTTTTTTTTTTCTATAAAATGCACATTTATTTTACCCACACGAATGAAAACTAAGATATCTTGTGGCGCGACATCTCTATCAGTTTTCATTTTTTTGATTTTCATTTAAACATATTAATCAATAGACAAAAATAAATTTTTTTTTTTTTTGAATTTCCCCCCTTTTTGATTGATTACAATCATGTTTAAGATAAAAACCCCAAAAATTTCAATCAAAATATAAAAATTTAAAAAAAAAAAAATAAAAAAAAAAAAAAATACATCATTTTTCTTTAAAATAAAAAAAATGAAAATTTTATTTTTTGAAAAAAATTACAACGATAATCATATCCCTAGGGATGGTATTAAACAAACTATTGTTTGAAATTGAAATTTTATATATTTTAAAAAAAAAAAAAAAACAATTGATAATTTTAATAGGGAGAATATTTTTTAGCTTTATTTTTTTTTGGTTTTTCATCATCTTTATCATTTAATAAATAACGAAAAGTTAAACTTATTCTATGGTCACCCTTTTTTAATTTGGGGATTTCGTGGGTCCAAAGATAACGGCTTTCATCTTGTAACAAAACGATTGAGTTTGGGAGTAGTTCTTTTTCTATTTTTTCATATTCTACTTTATTTTTAGTATTATTGGTTGAGGTTGCTTTACTTTTATCCTTACTATTGCTAGTATTGTCATCAGTATTATTACTTTTGTTTTCAATTTTCTTTTTAAAAACCATTTTACATTTTGAACCTAGAGAAATACTGAAAATTAAATTACCAAATATTTTTGAATCGACATGTGCACTTATACCTTGATTGTCTTTATATTCGTTCACAATGAGTTGTTTTGGAGTATCATTTATTATTTGTTTTTCTAATAGCAGCATTATTAAATCGTTGGCCCATTGCGGAAATGGTGGTGCAATATCTTCATCTTTTAATTGACGTGATTTATAGTTATATTTATAACCATAGTGCTGAGTCCTTCTTAACAATGATTTATCATCCCATTCGCATTTATTTACCTCTGCCCATAATTTGTCATGATATTCGTCATTAAATATATTTTCGATTATTTTTAAACCTTTAATTCTATCATCCTCTTTAATTTTACAACTTTCTTGGTTATCACTATCATTATTATTATTATTATTATTATTTATTGTTTTTTTTGTAAAAAAATTTAATAATGACATTTTATTATAAAAATATAGGTAAAAATGTGTGTAAGGTTTAATTTAAATGATAATTTTTTTTTAAATTTATATTTTTTTTTAATTTATATTTTTTTTTTTTTTTTAATTCAAAACAAAAAAATTTCCTCGTTTTTTTGAAGTTTAAAAAAAATTATGGTATTTTTCTCAGTTTGATGAACAAAAACTGTATCAATACGACACATAAATAGATAATTTTATTGATTTTAATAAATAATTTTTTTTTTTTTTATTGGTTTTTGATTTTTTAATTTAAAAAATATAAATGTTTATATTGTGAACTGATTTGGTTAAATGATTGATATAATTTGTTTAAGCCCAATAGTTTTTATCAACACCTAAACCACATTCTGAGACATCACCTTGATATTGCTTCATGTATGGTTTGCTCCAACTAGATTTTTTTAAAAAGAAAAAAAAAAAAAACACTAAATTAGACTACTTTATTTTAAATTCATTTTTTTATAATAATTTTAAAATACTTACCCACCAAAGGCAGTGAAATCTTTGAATGAAGCATCATTATCATAATGAGCATACCATAATGGGAAGTCTTTACCACCAGTGTATGAGCCCATAATTGGTTCCCATTGTGATGCTGATGTGTAAACACCAATTTTAGCACCAGCTTTTTTACCACCGGCTACAAGACCTTCAAAGAATTTAGCATTGGCTGAATGATCATTGGACCAATATGCACCTGGACCCTCAACATCTAACCAAACAGTACCTACTGATTTATTATCGATATATGATTTAATATAATTTACAGTTGATTCAACTTGATTTGATGGATTACCACAATTGTAACATGGGAAAATATAAACATCGACTGATAAACCTGCTTTTTTAGCATTTTCAATTGATGATTTACAATTTGGATCAATTTGACCAATTGATTGATAACACTATTATTATAAAAAAAATAATATTAATTTTAAGTTTTTTTTTTTTATTTTTTTATTTTTTTTTTCGAAATTTAAAAAAGATTTTGAAAAAAAAAAGACAGAGATTTGGACACTTACTCTAATGATTGCTTTGCTGTAACCTTTACCTTTGAAGCAGGAAAGGTCTGCAACATTTGAACCAAATGCAAAATCAATACCAATATGTGAATAGGCAAGATTACAAACTAAAGCTACAAATAATAAAAGGGAATATAAAAGTTTCATTGGTTTTTTAATATAAAAAATATTTAAAATGATAAAAATAAAAAAATAAAAAAATATAATTTTATAAAACTATTAATTTTAAAAAAAAAATAAAAAATATAAAATAAAATAAAATAAAATAAAATATAAAGTATCTTTTTTGGTGTGTAGGTTTAAAACTGGGCAGATATTTCGATCCCAATAATACCTAAATTATTTTAAAATTTAAAAAATGAAAAAAAAAAAATAAAAAAAAAAAATAAAAATTTAGCACAATACCAAAATCAAATAAAAAAAAAAAATAAAAAAACAGTTATAAAAAAAAATAAAAATAATTTTGGAAAAACTGGGATTAATAATATATCCAGGTTTATTTATTACTAAACAATTAAATATAAAAAACAAAAAATAAGCATCTTTCCCAATGTTCAAAATTAATAATTATAAAAATAAAAAAAAAACTTTTTCGAAAACCAAATATTTAAAAACCAGTGATCTAAATTAAATTAAATAAACTTAAAACTAAATAAAAATAAATAACTATATATTAAATAGATAATAAATTATAATTAATAAACTGTTAATAATTTATAAATAAAATATTTACCTCCAAAAAAAAATAAAAAAAAAATATTTTTTAAAAAAAATTTTATTTTTTTTTTTTAATTTTTTAATTTTTAAATAATTATGTTGTAAATAAACCAAATAACCAATAAACCAATAAATAAAAACTATTTATAGTTAAATAATTAAATAAATATATAAAATGGAAGAGAATATAGGATTGACACCAAATCAAATAGAATTTTTAGCAGAAGATACAATTATTACAATAGTGCCCAATTTTAAAATGGAATCATTAATTTTTTTATCAGGCGAATACGGCCCATTCATACCATCGTTTCCAGTTAAAGTACCACTATGGCTTGCAGTATCATTAAAAAAAAAGAAAAAGTGTAATATAGTACCCCCAGAATGGATGTCATTTGATTATTTAGAACAACAATATATACAAGAGAACAGAGTGACTGATGGTTTCGTCGACTTACCAGATAATTTTATAGAAATATCAACAATGCTTCTATCATCATGTCCTGAGGATATCAATGATGTAAATAAAATTAGAAGTTTAATTGAAGATATTTTAAATAGAAGACAGAGCAAACTAAATAACTCTCTAATGAACCATCTACAATCTTTAAAAGATAATGAACCAATCAGTACAATGGAGTTTAAAAACTTTTCAATGATGGAGATCAATAGGGTTAGATCTTCATTTGTTAGCGGTATAAATCATTTATATAAAATACAATCTTTGGATAATAATGATAACAATAGTAATAATAATAATAATAATATTAATAGAACACAATCAAACAGTCAAACCGCTTCAAGATCAATTTATAGTAATACCATTAACTTTTCAAAATAAAAAATGAATGAATTAATAAAGATTTAATTAAATTTATAAATCTTAAAAAATATTTCTTAAAAAATCTTAAAAAAAAAAAAGTAAAGTTTTTATTATAATTTTTTTACATTGTTTTTTGTTTAATGAATAATAAAATTTAATCGCTATCACTACTGCTACTGTCGCTGTCACTACTGCTACTGTCACTATCACTACTGCTGCTGTCACTACTATCTTTCATTTTAACTTCTTTAACTTGTTTTTTATTATCTTTCTTTTCACTTTCACTTTCACTTTCGCTATCGCTTGATGAATCGCTATCGCTACTATCACTCTTTTTTACATCTTTCTTTTTTGGTTTAGATTCTGGTTCTGAATCTGATGAGGAGTCACTGTCTGATGATTCTTCTTTTTTATTTGCAGACTTTTTAGTTTCTGGTTCTGATTCTGATTCTGATTCTGATGATGATGATGATGATGATGATGATGATGAATCACTATCACTTTCTTTTTTAGATTCTACTTTGGTTCCTTTCTTTACTGGTTTTTCATCATCGCTGCTATCTGAACTTGAGGAATCGCTATCTGAGCTTGATGAATCACTATCTTTATCATTTTTTTTGGTTTCTTTTTTTGGTTTCTTTTCATCATCTGAATCACTGTCTGAATCTGAGGATGAATCATCACTGTCTTTCATCTTTACATCCTTTGATTCGGCTTTTTTAACTTTTTTTTCATCTTCGCTATCACTATCGGATGAGTCTGAATCTGAATCTGATGAATCTTTAGCTTTTGCTGCTACCTTTTTTTTATTTGAATCTGAATCTGAATCTGATGAATCACTACTATCTGAGTCACTATCTTTTACAACCTTGTTACTCTTGGCATTGGATTCTTTTTTCTTTTCATCTTCAGATTCTGAATCTGATGAATCACTATCGCTTGATGATACATCTGATTCCTTAGCTTTGGCTTTAGTTGTTGAATCTTTTTTCTTTTCATCTTCGGATTCTGAATCTGATGAATCACTGTCGCTGTCACTATCACTATCACTGTCTTTAGTTACTGCTTTAGTTTTGGTATCTTTCTTTTCATCTTCAGATTCTGATGATGAATCACTGCTATCTGAATCACTTTCGACTTTCTTTTTAGTTTCTTTTAATTTCTTTTTTTCATCTTCACTATCGCTTGAATCTGATGAATCTGATGAGTCTGATGAGTCTGAGGTTTCTTGGTCACTCTCTTTCTTTTTAATTTCTTTTTTCTTTTCTTCTTGTTTTTTCTTTTTATCTTTTTTTTCAACTTCGCTATCACTTGAATCTGATGAGTCTGAGTCTGAGTCTGAGTCTGATGAATCACTTTCAACCTTTAATTTCTTTTTCTTTTCTTCCTCTTCTTTTTTCTTTTGCTCCTCTTCTAATTTTCTCTTTTGTTGTTGTTGTTGTTGTTGTTGCTGTTGATTATTCTTTCCTCTAAATAATTTACCTTGAACTTTTTGCTCCTCTGAAATACAAACAGAATGTAACTTTACTTCTTCAAAGGTTAATCTTTTACAACATTGAACACATGAATATTCAGTAGGCCAACATCTGTGGAAATTAACATTTTTTTTTACAATAACAGTTCCACACTTATCACATGAAAAACTTGGCATTTTTTTATTTTTTTATTTTTGAAAATTAAATGTATATTAATTTACTTTTTAATTTTTTATTATATTTATTTTATTATAATATTTATATATTTATATATTTGTATATATGTTGTTTTTAAAAAAACAAATTATTATAATAATTAATTTTAAAATTTAAAAAAATTAAAAATAAAATTGCATTAAAAAAAAAAAAAACGAAAAAGTTTTTTTAATATGCACCACCTCCATCGTTTTTTTTTTAAAATTTTTTTTTTTTTTTCGAAATTTTTTTTTTTTCGTTTATTTTATTTTATTTTTTTTTTTTTATTTTTTTATATTCGTATTTTAAATACTTATATATATATAATTTTATTATAATAAATTATTTTTTTATATTAAAATAATAATATCAAAAATAATAATAATAACAAAAATAACAATTATAATAAAAATCAAAATAATAAATTATATATAAATATTTAAAAAAAAAAAAAAAAGAATGAGTGAAGAATTAAAATCATTAATTCAACCACATATTGATTCATTTGATTTTTTTACAGATCATGGTATTGATTTGATTTTAAAATCAAATGAACCATTATATTTCGAACATAAAGAAAGACAATATAAAATTAAATTCACTCAATTAAAATTAGGTAAACCAGTACATAATTTTAAAGAAAAGGAGGTTAGATTTTATCCAAATGAAGCAAGAGAAGCAGGTGTAACATACGATGCACCATTTAAAGGTGAAGTCAGTTTATATGAAGGTGTTGATTCAGACGAACCAATCCACAAAGTTGATGTAGATTTAGGTAGAATGCCAATTATGGTAAAATCTAGATTTTGTCATTTAAATGGATTATCCTCAGAAGAGTTAATCGAAAAAAGAGAAGAAGAATTAGAACAAGGTGGTTATTTTATTGTTAATGGTAATGAAAAAGTAGTACGTATGTTGGTTATGACTAAAGCAAATCACCCAGTAGCCCTCCACAGAAAAGCATGGACTAATCGTGGCCCAGGTTACACTAAATTTGGTATTACAATTCGTTGTGTACGTCCAGATCGTACTTCAATTACAAATAATCTTCATTATATCAGTGATGGTCAAATTACACTTCGTTTCCTCTATCGTCGTCAAGAGTTCTTTTTACCAGCCACCTTACTTCTCAAAGCACTCAAAGATACCACCGAAAGAGAAATCTATGAAAATTTAGTTCAAGGAGATAATGAAAACACTTTTCTTACTGATCGTGTCGAGTTATCACTTCGTGAACAAAAAATTAATAATATCAATACTCAAGAAGAAGTTTTAGATTATATTGGTTCACGTTTCAGAGCTAGAAGTCAATTACCATCATCATTTTCAAATACTCAAATTGGTCAATGGTTTATTGATAGCTATGTTTTTGTACATTTACCAAATTATAAAGATAAATATAATTTATTAGTGTAAGTTTAGATTATATATAATTTATAAAGTTACTTTTAAAAATCAAATATATTAATATTTAAATTATTATTATAGTTTAATGATTCAAAAATTATATTCAATGGTTGCAGGTAAATCAGGTACAGATAATATTGATTCAGCTGCTTTTCATGAAGTTTTACTTGCAGGTCAAATTTTTGGCAGCATTTTGGGTGAAAAATTAACAGAGTATTTAGAATCAACTAGATCATTTACATTAAAACATTTTGAAGATAAAAAGAAAGAAAATGATAAATTAGAAAATGTATTTAAAAAGACAGTCGAAAAGAATTTCAAAATTGGTGATAGATTCAATTACTTTTTAGCTACTGGTAATTTAAGATCAAATTCAGGTTTAGATTTACAACAAGTAAGTAGTATTAATAATAATTATAGTAAATAAATAATACCAACCATAATAACCAATTATTATTATTTTATAGACTTCAGGTTTTGTTGTTATTGCAGATAAATTAAACTTTTTAAGATTTATTTCACATTTTAGATCAATTCACAGAGGTGCTTTCTTTGCAACTATGAAAACTACATCTATTAGAAAGTTAATGCCAGAATCATGGGGTTTCTTATGCCCAGTACATACACCAGATGGTGCACCATGTGGTTTATTAAATCATCTTACTTCAGCATGTTTAGTTACAGTTGATCCATTACAAGACCAAAAGGTATTGAAAGCTAGACCATTAATCCCATCATTTTTAGCAACTCATGGAATGTTACCAATCGATATGACTACAGTTTTTTCACATCAATATCTTACAATTACACTCGATGGTTGTGTAATTGGTAAAATCGAACAAAAAGCAGGTGAAGAATTAGTTACAATGCTCCGTTATCTTCGTTCAGTTGGTACCGAACCAGCTATTCCAAAAACTATCGAAATTTCATACTCACCACCATCATCAGTAGAAAACTCTCAATATCCAGGTATTTCATTATTTACAAGTGGTGCTCGTTTCATGAGACCTGTTATTAATTTAACTAGTGGTAAAGAAGAGTTAATTGGTCCACAGGAACAATTATATATGGAAATCGCTGTAGTTCCAAACGAAGTTATTAAAGGTGTTACAACTCATATCGAAACCTCACCAACTGCAATGTTTTCATTATTAGCCAATCTTACTCCATTCTCAGATTACAATCAATCACCAAGAAATATGTATCAATGTCAAATGGCCAAACAAACTATGGGTACTCCATTACACTCATACCCATTCCGTACCGATAATAAGCTTTACAAGATTCAAAATATTCAAAAACCAATTGTTCACACTAAAAATCAATTTAAATATCGTGTTAATGACTATGCTCATGGTTGTAATGCTGTAATTGCCGTAATTTCAAATACTGGTTATGATATGGAAGATGCTATGATTATTAATAAATCAGCCTATGAACGTGGTTTTGGTCATGGTTCAGTTTACAAGAATGAATATATAGATTTAGATGAAGGTCTCAGTCGTTTTGAATCAAAGAAAACTTTCTTTGGTCGTCCTAACTCAAGTGTTGATAATTTAGGCGATTTTATTGATGTAGATGGTTTACCATTTGTAGGTCGTCTTATTAAACCTGGAGAACCATACTACACTTATATTCGTCCAAGCGATGGTAAACAAGTTGTTAAAGATTATAAAGGTAAAGAAGAAGCATATATCGAAGAGGTTCGTATTTTATTTGCAAGTGGTGGTACAGGTCGTGAGCCATCTAAAATTAATAATATTTGTGTTAAACTCCGTTACAACCGTAATCCAGTTATTGGTGATAAGTTTTCATCACGTCATGGTCAAAAGGGTGTTCTTTCTCAATTATGGCCAGAAGTTAACATGCCATTCACTGAAAGTGGTATGAAACCAGATGTTATTATTAATCCAAATGCTTTCCCATCCCGTATGACTATTGGTATGTTAGTCGAAATTCTTGCTGGTAAAGCTGGTGCCATTCATGGTAAATTCCAAGATGCAACTGCCTTCCAATTTGACGAAAAGAATACAGCAATCGATTTCTTTGGTGAACAATTATCTAAATCTGGTTTTAATCGTTTCGGTAATGAAACTATGTACAGTGGTACTACTGGTAAAGAATTTGAAGCTGAAATCTTCTTTGGTGTTTGTTATTATCAACGTCTTCGTCACATGGTTAAAGATAAATATCAAGTAAGAGCTCTTGGTAAAGTTAATGCATTAACTCGTCAACCAATCAAGGGTCGTAAAGTTGGTGGTGGTATTCGTTTCGGTGAAATGGAACGTGACAGTCTTTTAGCTCATGGTGCCTCCTTCTGTCTTAATGATCGTCTTATGAAATCATCCGATTTTGCTAAAATTAAAGTTTGTAAATTATGTGGTTCAACTCTCACTATTTATTCCAAAAAAGATTATTCCAACCAAACTGTTTCAGAATGTAAAGCTTGTAAATCAACTGATTCAATTTCAATAGTTTCAATACCATATGTTTTTACTTATTTAGTTGCTGAATTAGCTGCTGTTAATATAACAATGAAATTAACTGTTAATTAATAAGTAGTTAGTATTAAAAAAAAAAAAAAATCTAATAAATAAAATAAAAAAATAAAACATTTTAAAAAAATATAAAAAATTTATTGGTTAATAGTTGTTTTTATTAATAAAAAATTCCCATAGGTGGGGAAAAAAAAGAAAAATATTTTTTTTATTTATTTATTTTTTAATTTTCTAAATTTTGGGATAACCAAAATAGTGCTTCTTCTGTGCTATCTATTGTATTGTATCCTGAGTGAATAAACCAATGCTTTTCTAATTTAAATAGTTCTAATTGTTTAATAATTAATTTTGAAGGATCCAATACATCATTCTCTAATTTGTTCAAAAGAAATATAGCTTTGGTGTTTGGGGATATCTCTTTGTGGTTTAATAATTGATGCACCATTTGTTTTAAAAGTTCTAAATGTTCTTGATTATATTGAGATTGATCCATTATAAAAATAATTGAATCTGATTTAGTTTCATTATAAAAATTTACCCATTTACTAACTAGTTCTGTTAAATTTTCTTTTAAATAACCAACACTATCAAAATCTATAACTTTATTGTTATTATTATATTTATAAACTATATTCAATTTTAATTTGTTAATAAAGTGCCTTTAATGATTTCTTAAATTTAACCTAATTACCTTTAAAATAATTTGTTAAATGATTAAATGTTTCGAAATTAAGTTGATTACCTGAAACTTTATCTGGTTTCAATGTATTTTCTCCAAAATTATTCAAGTAAAATAAAGATATATTAGATTGTCTTGTTATAGACTCTCTTAAAAAACTATCCACTAAATTTGATATCATCCTAATATTTTATAAATATAAATAATATTTTTTAACCCCTAAATAAAATTAAAAAAAAAAATTAATTTAAAAAAAAAAATTAATTTAAAAAAGAAAAAAAATAAGAAATATCTGGAAAGATAAAAATTAATATTTTTATAATAAAATTATATAAAATATCTAACTATAACTAATATAATTAATATTTATATATATAATTCTTTTTTTTGTATTTTATTTTTTTTTACAATTTAAATAAATATATAAAAGTTTGTTTTAAATCTATTCAAGAGTGGCAATATTTGGGATATTTGGTACAAGTGGTGGTAATAATGAATTTCCGGATTGTGGTGGAGAAATAAATGGGGTGTGGCTATTATTGGTATTGTTTTGTGGGTTTGGTTTTTGAATTGGTGGGAGAATTGGTTTTTGTTTAACGTTTAAAATTGTTAAAATTTCATCACCAGATAAAGTTTCTTTTTCTAATAATTCACCGACTAAATTTTCCATATTATCTCTATTCTTTATGATGAGATCTTTAGAGTATTTGTATTGTTTGTCTAAAAGTTCTCTAACTTCGTCGTCGATTATTTTTTGAACCTCTTGTGACATACTCTTATCTTTGTGATAAGTGAAACCTAATTTATCGGACATACCCCACTTGGTAATCATAGAATAAGCAAGAGAGGATGCTTGTTGGAAATCTGATGAGGCACCACTAGTTACACCATCATCACCAAAGAAAATTTCTTCGGCAGCACGGCCAGCTAAGCAAATTGCAAGACGGGCCATCATTTGTTTTCTTGTAAATTGAACATGATCCATTTCTGGTAATTGAGAGACCATACCTAATGCAGAACCTCTTTGAATGATAGTAGCCTTGTGAATTGGGTCAGCAGCATCGGTCATAGCTGCAACAAGAGCATGACCTGCTTCATGATAAGCTGTATTACGACGAGCTTCTTCGCTCATAACTGCGCCATTACGAGCACGACCCATTAAAATATCATCACGAGCTTCTTCGATTTGTCTAAGAGTAACACTTTCTTTACCAGTTTGAACAGCTTTAATAGCGGCAGTGTTGATAAGATTGCTTAAATCAGCACCTGTAAAACCCGGTGTGGCTCTGGCGATATGATCAGCTTTAACATCAACATGATGTTTGATTTTGTTGAGGTAGTGTTTAAGAATTTCGGCTCTACCTTTGATATCTGGAACTGGTACAGCGATATGTCTGTCAAAACGACCTGGACGTAAAAGAGCTGGATCAAGTGAATCTGGAGCATTGGTGGCACCAATGATCATAATTTGACTATTACCTTCGAAACCATCCATTTCAGCTAATAATTGAAGAAGAGTATCATTATATTGGGTGTTATTTCTTGACTTGCCAACTGCATCAATTTCATCGATAAAGATAATGCATGGTTGTTTTTCACGGGCAGCAGTGAATAATTCTCTAATACGACGTGAACCGACACCAACATATTTTTCATCAAAGCTTGAACCAGTTGTGAAAATGAAGGAAACACCGGCTTCGCCAGCAATTGCACGAGCTAACATTGTTTTACCGGTACCTGGTTCACCAGATAATAAAACACCTTTTGGTAACTTGGCACCAATTTCGGCATATTTTTCTGGGTTTAATAGGTAATCAACAATTTCTACTAACTCATCTTTAACTTCATCGATACCTTTGATATCTTCAAATGAAGTTGGAGGTTGCGAGTCAGCGTTATATTCTTTAGCAAATTGATGACGCTTGACACCTGTTTCTTTTGTTGTTTCGGTTGTAAGGGAATATAAAAGGAATAATAAAACTGGTAACCAAAGTAATTGAACAATACGATCGAGCCATGATAGATTGGTTTTACCATTAGCATTTATATTAAAAATTGGGACAATTGGTTTTTGTTGAATCTTTTCTGCAACTTCCGGGAAATGGTTGAAACGAAGGAAAAATCCTCTTAATGCTTCCTCTGATTGTAATGCCTCTGCTGCAGCCTTTCTCATTTTTTTAGTTGGTGGTGGTAATCCAATATTTGCTTTATTAATTTTACCACTATAAACCAATGCTTTGAAATAATATCTAATACATTCTTCATTTGAAGCATATGCTAATGATTCGAATCTTTTAATAATACTATAGAAATTTTATTATAAAAAAATAATGAAATGTTAATATGAAATTAAAGTTTTAAAAATAAAATTAAAAAAAATACATACGTCTCATAATCGCTCATTTCGAATAATTCTTTATAGGTTACTTCTTGAAGATTTTCGTCAGTTGGTAATGAATTGCCGTTTTCGATTACCTTTTCTCTTGTGGTGGCATAATTTCTGCCATTATATTTTTGTTGTAAATATTTTTGTTGTTGATTTAAAAGTGAAGTCGAGGATAATAAAACATTACCGTTATTGTTGCTATTAAATGCAGTATGTTTGAATGATTTTAATACCTCTCCATTTATTATATTTTCATTATTATTGCTATTAACTCTTTGGTTAAAATAGCTTATATTTCTAATTTGAGTTGATGGTAATTTACCTTTACCGAGTAATATATCTTTTAATTGTTTAATATTATTGTTTCTAATATTTGTAATTGATGACATTTTTATTTATGTGTATTAATTAATATATTTGAAATATGAAAAAAATTATTAAACTATATATTTATTCCTCTATAAATTTTGTTTAATTATTATTATTTTTATTATTTAATTTGATATTTATATATCTGTAAGAAATAAAAATAATAAAGAAAAATTTAAAATATTTTAAAAATGTGGAAAAGTGGTGTTTTTTGTTTTATTTTAAAAAAATAAAATAAAAAGTGTGTGTTTTTTGATATTTTTTAAAATATGAATTGGGTGTGTGTAAAAAAAAAATATTATTTATTTTATTTATATATTATAAAATAAAAATATGTATTGATATATTTTAGTGATACAAAAAAGTTATACAAAAAAAAGGTTTCTTGAATGAGATATATATATATATATATGTAATTAATTGTGTATTTTGTTTTTGAAATTTAAAAAAAAAAAAAAAATTTAAATACAAAAAGCAAAGTTAAAAAAAAATAAATAAAATTTAAAAAAAATAAATTATAATTAAAAAAAAAGAAAAAAATTAAATTTTATTTTTTTTTTATTTTTTTTATTTTTTTTTTTTATTTTTCGTTTTGTAAATAATGATTTTTAAAAATTAGGTGTTATCTTTTTTGGAACTCTTATTTCCAATTGTCAGTTTTTTTTTATTTTTTTTAATTAATTTTTTTCTAACTTCCAATTTGTGAATGTAGTGCCATATAGTGTTTTTCTTAACTTCATAACGAAAAGGGCTTATTTTGGAATAATTATCAGATTAAATTTTAAAAAAAAAAAAAAAATCGAAAAAAATAAAAGAAAAAAGGAACTATATAATAGTTTTAAAAAAAAAAAAAAAAAAAAAAATTTTAAATAAATATAAAAAAAAAAAGGAATTAACTCTTTCGGTTATGTGAAGTTATAAAATAAAATAAAAAAAAAAGTATATATATTATTATTTATTTTTGATTATTTTTTTAATTCCAATTCTTTTTCTTCCAATTTAATTAATAATTGCTCTAATGTTTTAAATGAATCTGTATGTTTCCAAGATACTTCACATTTTTTAATTAAACCTTTAATTTTGAGTTTTGCAGAATAAATATTTGATGTGGTTGGATTTTCAAAGTAAAGATTGCATAAATTATTATTAAATTCGACAACCTTTTCAAAAGTTGGTTGTTGGCCTTCCCATGAGGCAGTTTCGACTGAACGACATGCTTTTTGTAAGAGATCAATTGCCTTATCGGTGTTACCTAATGAATAATGATATTGAGAGTAAATACGCCATAAATCTGGATTGTTGGTGAGTTTTGAAGTGATACGGCCAAACATTTCAGAGACAATTTTTTCAATCTTTCTACCTGGAATACCTTGTCTATCGATGTCGTTATTGATAACATGATTAACGACTAGTGTACAAATTTTGAGATCTATTTTTTTATTATTTAGGTCAAAGATTTGATTAAGTGCAATGATTGCATTTTGATAGTCTTTGATAGCAACACAACAATGGAGATAGTTTTCCCACATTTTCCAACTTTCTCTTTTATGTTTTAAACCTTCTTGAAGAGCATTGAAGGCTCTATCCATTTGTTTCAAGTACATATAAACTGATGCTAAATTAGCCCAAGCTTCACCTTCTTCTGGTTCTAATGATACTACTCTTGAAAATGCATTGATGGCAGTTTCCCAGTTTTCGATTCTCATAGCAGCACAACCCATGGTAAACCAAGCATTTGGGAATAATGGATTAATGGATAAAGCAATTGTGAAAGATTCGATACATTTTTGGTACTCTAATTTTTCCATATAGCAACGTGCTAAAGCTCTTTGAGCACGTGAATAACGTTTCTTTGAAAGTTCCCAACCTTTAATATAATACTCTGGATCACCCTTCAAATCACCTAATACACAGTAGAGTTCTGGTGTTTCTTCGATTGCGAGACGCATTCTTACTAATTCTTCGGAACGAGCATTCTTTCCCATAAAGGTGAGACACTTAATTGCTTCTTCCCACATTTCTAAACGTTCGAAAATTTCAAAAGCAGAGGCAGCTGCACCAATACCAATAAATCTTTCAGCAACTTCTTTTTCGATTTCCCAACGAGTTGGATAGTCTAAACTGTAAACGAATTTCATTCTTTCAAAGCCGCTTGAAGTTGGGTCATCATATTGATCGACAAGTGCTTGGATTTGAAGAACAGCACGTTCGGCAGTTTTGGAGGAAACAATCTCTAATCTTGATTTAATTAAAAGACCCATTGAATGAATAAGCCAATTGTTTGATTTTTCTAATGTCTTTTGAATGTAAGGCATCATCTCTTCGGTGGTTAAACCATTGTTAATATTTTGGTTCTTTACATTTAAACATTGAAGCAAAATTAAAGCTTGATCAATATTACGTAAGTTTTTATTTTGGCCTTCGACTTGTTCTTTTAATGCTGGTCTAACGAGTAAAGTTGGGTCATCATTTGTAACTTCTCTTTTAATTGATGTATTTCTGTCAAAAACTGTATCTTCAACATCTTCATCTCTTTTACGTGCGTTATTAATTTGAATTACTAATTGAGCTGTATCGAAAGTTTGGAAACGAGTTCTTCTACCTAAAGCACCAGTTAATGAACATTCTAATTCTGAAGCTTCACAGGCTTTTTCAACAGAGTCTTTAATTTTATTTAATTGTCTATAATAACTGAATACTAATGATTGTTCTATAATTGCTCTGGTTGCTAAATCTTTTAATAAATTGATTTTATCTTTTTTTGATTTTTCATTATCACCACTATTGTCTGATGTGTCCATTTCATCTTCATTTGAGTTTAATAATGAGTCAATGGAATAAAATCTAACTACAATTTGGAATCTTTCGTTTAATAATGTTTTGAATGTTGGTGTTGGATTAAATAATGATTTTTGATGTGTCATAATTGCTCTGCAACTCCACCAACATGCTGATTTACAATTATCTGATAAAAATGAATAGTTATCAACTAAACAAATTTTGGCTAAATATAAAAAGATTGGGTTTTTACATTTTGAATAGATATATTCACCATCAACTTCTAATAATTTTCTAATTTCTTTATTATCATTTGGGAACTAACCAAAAAAAAAAAATTAATATGTCTTTGTTTTATTAGAGAATTTAATATTTAATATTATTATACATTACAGTAAACTCTTTTGAAATTTCAAGAGTTGGACCGGTCCAATTAATTTGTACATATAAATTTAAAAAAGAAATACCCGATACTAAAACTGCTAATTGGTTTAATGGGGTTTCTGTTAAACTTTTAATATTGTTATCTACTTTGTCAAAGTATTCTAAAAAAATATGAAATAAATTAATATTTTAGAAATTTTATTTTTTTTATTATTTTTTGATTATTATAAATATTTACCCTGTGGGTTACTTTCGAAATCACCTTCTTTAAGATCTTGTAATAAAAATAATTTCTTCATAAAATCGGTTCTTAATGAAAAGTTTAATGAATCACCTAAAAGAATGTTATATGCAATGGTAATTGCATCTTTTAATACTGGTAAGTCATCATATTCTTCATTGTTTAATGATTTATAAAGTTTATCGATTTTATCATCATTATTTTCAATAATATATTGATCTATTGATTCAATTAATTTATTTAATTTATTATTATTCATCTCTATTTTTATATTATTATTACTACCGTTACTATTTCTATATATTATTATTGTTATTAAACTATATTATTTGTGTAATAATGTTATAAAAAACTAAAAGAATCAAAAAGAATCGTTTTTCAAAATGAAAAAAAAAAAAAAAAAAAAAAAAAAAAAAAAGTCATATTTCGGAAAAAAAAAAAAAAATAAATTAAAAATAAAATTAAAAAAAATAAATATATAATTATTTTTTGTTTTTTTTCTCAGTTTTTTTAAATAAACAGAATATTTATTAATAACTTTACAATTCAAATTAAATTAAAATAATAAAAAAATAAATAAATTTTATTTATGATAATTGAATATTTTAAATATTTATAAATGGCAATATTCTCTCCACTATATTTTTTTTTTTTTTTTTTGAAAATATTTACAAAAATGGTTTACCACAATCCTAAATTTAGGCTTGTTTATTTCTGACAGCAACAGAAACACCGGTAGAACCAAAACCACCAGCTCCTCTTTCGGTAACATCTAAACTATCAACCTCTTCGACTTCAGGTGTCTCGATTCTCTCTAAAATTAATTGAGCGATTCTGTCACCAACATTAACTTTGAAATCATTATCAGAATGATTGAAAAGAATAACACCAACATTTCCTCTATAGTCATAGTCAATAACACCAGCACCTGTATCAATGGAGTTTTTCCATGCTAAACCTGATCTTGGTGCAATTCTGGCATATGTACCTTCTGGAATTGCGATTTGGAGATCTGTCATTGCTAAGGCCTTACCACGAGCTGGTACAACTAAATCTTGGGCACTAAAATAAAAATAAAAAATTAAATTGGTAAATAAATAAATTATTTTTAAAAACTAAATTATATAAGGTAATTACCTTGAAAGATCATAACCAGCTGCAAATTTTGTACCACGTTGTGGAATGGTAGCTTTATCTGAAAGTTTTTTAACTCTGAATGAATTCATTTTATTTCTGTAGAGTTTGAGAAAAATAATTTTTGTAAATATATGTTGTTTGATAAAAATGAAAAATGAAATAGTTTTGGTTTATTTTTTTTTTTTTAATTTATTTTTTTTAAAATACCAATAACGATTAAATTATTCAAAAATTTAAATTTTTTGGAAAAGCGGGATGTGTGCTAAATTTTTTTTTTTTTTTTTTTAACGATAATATATATTTTTAACTCTATATTTGGGGTTGTGTGGAGTGGTTTACAAGTATTGTTATTATATTATTTTAAGGTTAAAAAAGGATGAATACATTCCTATTTTTATTAAAATAAAAAAATAAATAAAAAAAACTACATTTAAAAATTTTTTTTAAAAAGCCTAGGTAAAAAGAAATACACAAAATAGAAAATATATATATATTATAATGACCAACTAATTTTATATTAATTTTCTTATTTATTTTTTAGGTGATGTATAAATTAGATAATTTAAAAAAAAAAAATAAAAAATGACTTTTTATTTTTTAAAATTTTTAAAAATTTTTTTTTTATTTTTATTAAATTTAATTTTTTTAACACCATTTTTTTTTATTTATTTATATATTTTTTAATATATATAAATTTATTAAAAAATGAGTCATACAGAACATGCAGAACAGGCATTCAATGATTTTATATCAAATATAAATAAACACAGATACCCAGAACTATATAATTATTTAGAATGCCCAACCGATGCATCACCCAGCACAATAAAAGAACAATATAGAAAATTATCATTGGTTTGTCATCCAGATAGAGGTGGCTCAAATGAAAAAATGATTCAAATTAATGAAGCATATATTATTTTATCAGATATAGAAAAAAGAAAATTATATGATATATTTGGTTCATCCTCCCTTACCAATTGGTTTTCATTTTATTCCAGAATATCATCCACACTTAAAGAGTTTTTACCATCATTTTTAAATTCATCAATCAGTTATTTTTTAGATTTAAAGAATTTGGCAATCAAATATTCAACTGATAGTGATGATGATTTTAAAGTAAGTAGTAATAGTAATTGTGGCCGTATCTTTTTTTTTATATTTTTTTTTATATTTTTTTTTTTGTAAATTGAATTTTTTTTTTATAGTACCCAATATTTTTTTTTTTTTTTTCATTTATAATATAATAAAATCCATAATGTAGATTGACAATACTTTGAAATAATAATTGTGGATAGATTTTAATAATTAAAAAACACGTGTATATAAAGTGTCCTTTAATAAATTAATAAACAATTTTAAAAATAAAATAAAATAAAATAAAATTAAATCAATCAAAAAAATTGTAAGCGAAAAAAATCTTTTTCTACCCTATAATAACATAATTTTTTTTAAATTTCAATAAAATTTTCACAATAATTGGGTAATATTATAAAGGGGATTTTAGTTATATATGTGACTTGTGTGATTTTTGTTAAACTTAATTAATACTCATAATTTAAAAGTTAATTTATACTTACTTTTTTTTTTTTTAAATCTTTTCTTCAGAAATTAAGTTTTTTATTAATACTTGGGTTTCCATTATCACATCACATTGTTGAAAGTACTATTTCAAAATTTTTAAATAGGGTAGAGGATAATAAAGAACAATCTGGGGGCGAAACATTTTTTAAGAATTTTATATCAGAAATTTTAGCCACAGTTGTTGCATCTCCATTTGAAATAATAGCATATTTAAAGTTTACAAAAAGAGTAAGTCTTGGAGATAATAGTCAACCTCTATATAAAAGTTATTTTTCAGCATTAAAAAATTGGAAATTGGTTTTAGTTCTTATTGGTTTTAGAATCAGTTCAAATATTTTGTTTTCTTTTCTTTCAAACTATTCAATTTATTTTGATGAAAAATCAAGGCAACATTACTATCACTTTGAAGACAGGGTCAGCAGAAAAACTTTTAATATTCACAACGAACTAAATGAAAAATTATTAGAATTAAATAGAATTAGTCAAGTAGAGGAAGAAGAGTCTGAAAGTGAAAGCGAAAGTGAAGACGAAAGCCAAAGAGAAAATCAAAGAGAAATGGAAATTCAAAGAATTACTCAAGAGGTTCAAAAAGGGTATGATGAAGAAAGTATGAAAATTAATAGAGATTATCTCAATTGCCGTACTATATCAAAATTATTAGGAATTGCTGCCAATATTCTCCCATCATTGATTTCAGTTCATAGATTATTCTATAAAGTTGAAAACCCTTCTATTCCCTATTTCTCTCTATCATTACTCAAAGCTGCTTCAATCGATTCCATCTCACATTTTCTTTTCAAATATTCTTTGGAAACTATTCAAAATATTTCAATTTCAGCACAATATTCAATTTTTAATGCTTTTGAATATATTCGTAATATAACAAGTAATAATAATAATAATAATAGTAATAACACAAATTAAATAAAATTTTTTGGTCATACAAAACATAGAATGGTACCTTGCATAATAATATAAAGTCCCAAGATATTTTTTTTTTTCTTCCAAAATCAAAAATAAATATCACCCTCAAAAAAAATAAAATAAAAAAAATAAAAAAAAATAACAATATAGTTATCTTTATAGTAATATCAAAAAAGGGGAAAGTTTTTATTTTACTATGATAAATTTTAATTATATTTTAAAATCAAATAGTTTTGTAATTATGATGATACACAATTTTTTATTTTTTATTTTTTATTTTTTATTTTTTTTATTTTTTACCAAAAGTAAACTGTCATAATAAAAAAAAAAATTGTAGGTTTGTATTTACCCAATTTTATGAATTCATAAAAATATAGTACTGCATAAAGTATC